AATTTGTAAACCACTAAATGCCTTCAAGACTCTTGTAAGAAAAATGAAAAAAAAAAAATCAAACATGTAATTTAATTCAATCTTAATTGAGTAAAATGCTAGTCATCCATCTTAAAACTAATTTAAACAACATGCAAAAACACTAAAACCAAAATTAACTTAAAAAACACTCTTAAGGAATACTTTAAAAATTTTATGAAATTGTTGGAATACATTAAAGATTTCTTGCATGAAAATCAAGTAAAATGTCAAATTTAAGAAAGTATTATAAGCGACTTAACAAATCAAACATGCAAAAATAATCAAGCCAACTAATACCTTATTTAAAACAAACAAATGGAAACTTCAATAGTTTTTAACAACCCCTAAAATAAACACAAAAAAATCAATGAAACATCTAAAAACCCAAATCACCAATCAATTATAAATCAAAATTGACCAGCATGCAAAAGACCAAATATTATAAAAATTTGACATTCCCTTCAAGAAGCAAAGAATTCAAATAAAGAAAAGTTCATATCCAAACTTCAAAAACATAATAGGTAAAAACAAATTTTGAAAAAAAAATCTCACCAAAGTCAGAATCAAAACCCAAAAAAAAAAAAATGAAAACAATGAAATAAATAACAATAAGTTCTAAAATAGAATACTCTTATGTTTTTGCCTTGTTCTTTAGTGACAATAATTTGAAAATTTTTAAAAATATGAAAGATATTTCCATTGGAAATACCATGAAACAAATATAGTCAAGGAACTCACTGTTATTTATTTGTCCCTTTTTAGGGTTCAAAACAAAATCTCTTTTTTTTTATTTGTCTTTTTTTTAGTCATTTAGATTATTAAAAAGTACAATTCAAATATCATTGAAATTTCGAAGATGCAAACCTAAAGAGTGAACAAAAATAGGGATCAAGACTAGCAAGGGCTTTGCAGTAGACTATTCGCCATTTAATCAGATGTTGGCATTCAAACTGCTACTATAATGGTGGCTATTTTAGGAACGACCACTTTTCACCACTAGATCTTTCAAAAAGATCATTGATGCTACCATTGGCTCTTTCTTCTCTTTCATTTGGATTACCCATACATTTTTTTTCAATCCACAAAGAAAACAAGAATTAACTGTTTGGTAAAAAAACAAAACAAAAAAGAAAGAGACAAGAATGATAGGGGAGTCTCAGAGAGATGGAGAAAATTCTAGGAGAAGCAAAACAAAGAGAGCAAAAAATAGTGGGAAGGAAAGAAAAACCAAGACACATGTAAGATTGAGGATCCTTTGGGATACCTTTTATATATAGTAGTATAGATGTTTAGTTCTATAAAAAGAATATCATTATGGTTTTATTCTTTTAGTTTGTCAATTTTTTTTAATTTTAAAAGGAGATAGGTCTTATGATAATGAAATGGTCTCTAAATATTAATTTTTTAATCTGATTCAGATTTAGAATAAGGACAAAGATGATAATAAAATAATAGCAGAATAAATGATTGCTAGATTAAGGATAGTTTCATTCACCTAAAATTTAAATATTTCTTGTAGCAAAATATTACATCTAACTTCACCTTATTATGTACCTTTCACTAGGCATACAATATATGATAGCCAGCTAGTTAGCTTTTATCTGAATTATATGCATATCATACTAAAAATTGCCACAAATGTTAGAGCACAAAGACTTTTGCTATTGTAAGCAATGACAATTTCTTTAAGCATTTTAAATTCTCTGTCGTTCTATTTTCAAAATATGAAACAAAGAAAAATCTCCAACTCTCATTTCTTATTGGATGGATCCTTCGACAATTCTTTATTAATACTAGTGTGAAACCCTAAGTTTTGTGTTGGGTTAATTAATCGACTAAATCATTATTTAATTGATCATTAACAAAACCAAATTAATCAAATTGATTTGATCGAATCAATTAGTTTTGATCCATCAAATAGATTGAAAATGACATATGCTAATAGGTAGTGAAAGGTGAGGAAAAAAGAGAAAAAAAAAAGCTAAATGTTCAATTTAATTAGGATTTAACATTTGATAAACTCTTAATTAAGTACATAACATTTAATTTGAACTAAATAAGAATCAAACATTTTCAAATATGCTCCAATAAAGACTTTTTTAATGAAATTGAAAAAATGAAATACATAGATATTAATTTGCATAAAGCATTAAATTATTTTCGTTCACTTGTTAATTTTGCTAATATGACATATTAAATGTGCAATTCTTAGTTGAAAATGGCAATATTGTATGGCTAATGTGACACTTTTGAAAAAAAATATAATATTTAATTTTGAACCTTAAATCCTAAGTTAACTAATTTATTTTTAGAAAAACAAAAAATGATAAATTATTTATAAAAGATTTTGTACTTATTTCCATGATATGAAAAATGTTAAAATTCATAATCAAGTTTTCTAAACACATATCCATTTCTTATCTCCACACCTCACTTTTTTTTCAAAATTTTCTTTAGTTAAAATTATTTAATTATCCTTATTATGTCAACTTTAAAACTTCTAGATATACATTTTCGATAAGTTATATAACTTTTCGAATATGCATTTCAAGTAAGTTATACTTAAAAGGCATATCCAAAAGTTTTTAAAAAATTACATTTAAGTTTAAGAGAAAAACAGTTGAGAAAATATATATTACAGAAATTTTTAAACTTTCAAATATGAAAATTCTAAAACTTTTAAAAGCTTCTAGGTATGAAAATTCGAAAACTTTTAAAAACTTTTGGATGTGCAAATCAAAGAGCTTAAAAAAAAAAAAAAGGTAATTATATTAAAAAAATAAGTTAAAAAAACGTGAAAAGTAAATGATAGGGTGGGAAGAGAATTGCCTTTCTTAACCAATTAGTTGTACTAAATATAGATCATCCACAAATGAAAAACTACACATTTTATTTACAATCATCTTACATTTAACTCATTAATTAATAACTGAAAAGTTCAATTATGTAAAACAAAAAATTAATTTCAAAACTTACCATTGAATAAAGACTCAAAAATTAATGTACTAGTTAAAATTAAATTAGAAAAATCTACAAAATTCTATGATAGAGTTTTCTTTTTCTTGGTTTCATCTTTATGGTTTTCATCTAATTGGAGACTTTTAGTCTAATAGAAGTAATTTAAAATGAATTAAAATATAAAATATTCAAATTAAAATTAAACTGAATAAAAAAATCAATTTGTACCAATTGAATACTATTATTTTTTATTGACTTTGGATGTTTTTCTCACCTTAAAATGTATATTTGGAAAAGATGTGAAATATGGAATTATAAAAAACTAGCTTTTTAACTTATGCGATGCATATATTTTTTTATTATATTTTTATTCTTTTAATTTTTTTAATTTAGTCTAATTTTTATATTATCATAATAAAAGAATATATATTTTAATTTTTTATTTGTAAAAAAATAATTTATCATATCTTGATCCTAAAGTTTTTATTTTAAAAATGCATATATATATAATTTGTTTGATTCATGATATAAAGTGAAAAAACATCTAAAGTATTTGATTCATGAATTATGAATTATCTAAAGTGATAGAGTAAACACGTAGAGTGTAAAAATGTTTTTACATGATCAAAATGAAAAAAAAAAACATATAAAGTGGTGGATAAAACTATTTGATTTATGAATTGTTTTATAGTATTCTTTAAAATATTTTAAATACATAACTATAAATCTAAACCAATGATGATAATATATGATACAATCGAGTTGAACATCTTCTGAGTCATTTATATTAAAATAAAACAAAAAAAAATATTTCTATAATTGGTACCTTATCAATTGACTCAAAATAATTATTCATAGATGGAAACAAGCAATGAAATGAGTTTTTTTCTCTAGAAATAATAGTATTTTTTTATCAAAACCAAATTGTATGATCTTAAGAATTAATTCATAACAAAACAAATTACTTTTTAAATATATGAAAGATGTGAAAAGTAAAAAAATAATAATATTTTTTGATAATAAGTTAAAATAAAAAAAATCATCCAGAATTAAAAAAATATACAATTTCAAAAAAATGATATCCTAATAAATTATATTTAATATATATTTTTTGGAAAACAAAATAATTTTAATAAACATTTATAAACATACCATCACTTTATGATAATGATCAAACTTCTAAACAAAATATGAAGAAAAAATTAGTAAATGAGTGTTAAAAGATAAATAAATTGAAATAAATATTAGTTTTTTATAAGAATAAAATTATAAAAGTAATAATATATCTTTCAAAGAAATGTTGTAAATTGAAAAAATAATAATGTGTAGAATATACTATTTATATATTTACTGCATGATAATTAAAGTATATAAATAATTTTAAATTGATAAATATATTTTGAATTTTAAAAATATAATAAGTGATATTTATTTTTTAAAAATTTAAAATATTTAAAAAATAAATGAATATAAAAAAATTTATGAAAGTAAAAAATCAAATTTCAAGATTTTAAAATTAAAAAAAAAAAGAGATATATCTACGTAACTAATGAAATTTGAATTAAAAAAGATTAATTTTTAAAATTTCAAATTTATATTATAATTTCTTTTTATTTTAAATAGATAATTTTATTTATTCAATTATTTTAAACTTAAATTGGTTGAAAAAAAATGCTGATAATGTGAAACCAACACTTAAAAATTTTTTGTAAAAAGATATAACTAAAATCAGAATAATAATTGCTGTAAAAAATAATAGAAAATTAATTATAGATAATATAATAAATTTTTATTTTATATATATGAATTGATCTTTTATTTAAATTTTAAAAGTTTTGAACAATTAAATAAATTTTTAAATATATATTTTTTGATAAATAATCTAAAATAAAAAAAATCTTATGCATTATTATAAAAATAAATCTTCAAAATTTTCTTACCTATAGAAACGAAGTCATTCACGTAATTATTTACATCAATAAACTTTTTCCAATAACCATATACCATATAATATAATATCCTATATATAAAAGAGATTGAAGAATTGGGAAATGAAAAATAGCAGGAAAAGAAAAGAACAGAAAATAAAGAGAGAAAAACAAAAATACGAGGCAAAAGCCGCTGGTGCACCTCCGTCGCTAAGGCTGAGTGGTGGAGAGATTTTGTTCCTCTCCCGAACAGAGTCTGAGTAGAGTGAATAGGAGACAGGTGACAAGGCGAATCCCGTAATTGATTAGTAATAGATGGGGAATTTATTGGTGAAGAAACCCAAGATCACCGAAGTCGATCGAGCAATTCTTTCCCTCAAAACTCAGAGGCGCAAGCTTGCTCAATACCAGCAACAGGTTTCTCTGCTCTCTCTCTCTCTGTTTCTATATATATATATATATTGTGTTTATAAATGAATTCAATTCTGTTTGGTTTTCTTCTTTTGAATTTCTGTAAGTTTAATTTTTGCTTTATTATTATTATTATTTTTCTTTTTACATTTTCCCTCTTTGTTAGCTTGAGGCTGTTATAGAAGCAGAAAAGCTAGCTGCCAGAGACTTGATTCGTGAAAGGAGAAAGGATAGAGCTTTGTTAGCTTTGAAGAAGAAGAAAACGCAAGAAGAATTATTGAAGCAAGTTGACACTTGGCTTATTAATGTCGAGCAACAAGTATGTGAAACTGAATTATCATATTATTATTTGATTTAATTTGTTGTCTCACTATGTAGCTACCTTGTTTTAATTGTTTCAATTTTCTCATTGTTTAATGTTATATTTTTTAGTAAGAAATTGTATAATAGTTTGATCAAATATCCAATCAATCCATTACAATGTCTCTATTATAGAGCTAGCATCGACATGGGCTCCATTTGCTGCCTTACTTTTGGGTTTTACTATTACAATTGAACAATGCTTAAGATAGATTAAAACACTAATTTTTCTTTCAGTTGGCAGATATTGAACTAGCAAGCAAGCAAAAACTAGTTTTTGATAGTTTGAAAGCTGGAAACAATGCAATTAAGGCAATACAAAGTGAAATCAACATAGACGATGTCCAGAAGTTAATGGATGACACTGAAGAGGCTAAGGCTTATCAAGATGTGAGCTTCATTTCAATTCTTACTCATCTTGGTTCCTTTTGAGTTATCTTGGCTTTGCTCATTTGCTTGATTTCTCTGTCTAAAATGAAATATGATCGTTGATGTAAATCTCTCCTGTTTGTTCTCTCTCTAACTCTCCTTCTTCTTTGTTTGTCTGCAAGTATTTGTCAACTTTAGATAAGCTGTTTATCATGCCATTAGATAGATGCCTAAAAATCAGGGCATGTTAATCTATTTTTGAAGTCTTTAAAACAAAAATAAACACAAATAATTCTAGATTGTCGGCTTGCATTACCAGTTTGTGAATCTATTATGTTTATCATCATTTTCAAGAAGCTTTTTGTCACTTTTTTCTCTTAGATATGTTTTTCTTTTAGTATTTCAAATAATGTCTTTCTAAATATCTTTGAATGTCATTGTGGATCTGAAAGCCTGTATGTGTTATCCTAATTTTTAACAATCATTTATATTTTCCTTTTTCGTGATGATTTTATTAGCTCGGTTTTCTCTTTATCTGTTAAAAGGTTAGCATTTTTGTCTGTTAAATCATAACTTGAGCATTTCCTCTTCACATGGGCTTCCAGCTTCTTCTCTATTCTTTTTTTTTTTTTAATTTTCTGAAAATGGGCTGCATATTTGTGATTTTGAAGGAAATCAATTCGATCTTGGGGGAGAAATTATCAGCAGAAGATGAAGATGAGATTTTGGCAGAATTTGAGAACTTGGAAACTCAGGTATTTGTTTCAGTTATATCTGATAAAAATAAATTTTCATTTGAATAATAATGATCTAAGGTTTGTTTGTTTAGGTCATTGTCATAGAAGATCTTAATTTTTTGAATGAATTAAACCAAATTCATAGGAGATTTTGATGAGTTTTTCCACAAATATTCAAAAACTGGCGTTAGGCTTTGTAATACTAAAATCTCATAGGTCTAGCAGCTAAAAATTACTATAATTTATTTATGAAAAAAATATAAATTAACATTGAAATTTTATGATTTGCAACTGTTACCTAACCTATTTTTCCATTTTGCTCTCCATTGCTTTTACCATCTCTGATTTTGGGAGGAAACCAAGAATTTATTTGATTTGGAGAGTAAGAGAAATTAGGGATGGAGGAATAAAGGTAAAACAAACCAAAAGGTTGGCCTTCTGGTTTCTAGTGCTAGGAAATAGAGAAAACAACTGCTCTGATTCATAGGTCATAAATGGAACTACTCATTAAAAGTAATACTTGTACTTTAAATAGCAAAAAACCTTAAGTAAAAATCCTAACTGTTGAAATAAGTTTTCAACCATGCTAAACAACTTATAAAGGAAATAAATCAAAAAGACATAATATTCCCAAAACATAACGTACTATAGTTGAAAAATAGAGTGAAATTGTGTAACATTACTTCTACAGTAGCATGAACCATACACACACATACACGCACGCACACGCACACGCACACACATGCATTTATGTATGTACACAATTTTTTACTCTAACATCAACTCCAAGTTGGAGAAAACTCAGCTGCAACAATAACTTTCAGACTAAACCACTAGTTATTAAATCTTTAGCTATCCTGTTCATTTCTGCTTTACGTGATGGTGGCATCCAGAAGCTCCAAGATTAGGTAAAGCTACTCTGGGAATTACCAATAGACTGTTTTATACCCTCCATTGATTGCAACTTGGCTTACAAGTCTTCAATTATTACATTCTCAAAATCACCATGCAACTTTTTATTTTCACTCGATGAGAGAATCTTTTTTACCCTCTACAATTCTTCCAAACAATACAACAATAATAATTCCTTATGGTTATCTTTTCAAATTTGTGGGGTTTGAGAAAATAGCTAGGGTTGTTAATTTTTATCTACTTTAGCAAATCACTTTTCATGGGATGCTATGTGAGCTCCTTATTGACCCTCTTGGGAGTTAGTGTTTATGGCTGACCTGATAAACTATCGCAAGCATCTATGTTGATAAATATCATATCAGACCTCATCTTCATGAGGGTAAAATGGGAAGGAAGTTGTTGAGAAATGGCTGAAAATTCCAGCCAATGAAGTCAAATAGTCCCCCATATCTTGAAAGCTATCGAGAAATGGCTGAAAGCTATCAAGATAGTAGCGGTGATCAAATTAAGCAACTTAGAAGGTAGATTGATCAAACTGCGGCAATAACCGATCAAGAAAGGAAACAATAAAGAGCAAACAAACCAATTTGCATGGTGGGAACTAATTCCCTACATCCACAAGCACAACAAAGAAGAAATTCACTATCAAAGAACGGAGATTTCCATGGTCAAGCTCACCCCAAAACCCCACTTGCAATCTCAAGCCACTCACTCAGGATTTTGTGTGTACACCACTATCTTGATTTTGGGTACATGACCAAACCCTACACCTGAGAGAAAGAGCTTGCAAAACTAGAGAACTTTCATATGTGACTGACCTTATTAACTTTAATGTGGCGGGAGGTTTCAAGCACTTGTCAACAGATTTCAAGGTGTGGGGTGGCCCTGTCTCTTTGACTTTAGTGGTAGGAATTTTCAGTGATTTCTCAACATGACAGAGTTGACTGAAATATTCTGTTTCGGTCCTTTTGGTTTCCTTCCCTTTGTTTGGTCAATCCATTATTTTCATTATTTAATTGTTTAATTCGATTTTACTACCCAACTAACCATTTGGTCACACCTATTAAAATGTGACATTTCCTTATCGAAACCAATGATTTTTTAGCACCATAATGAGCCGCAATTTTTTGCTTTTAGGCAATATTGATAAGCATCTTTCAAATATGTAAGGTGATTAATCTCTATCTCATTTCTGATAGCCTGTCTGATCCCTATAGACAGGGAGTGTATTTTTCCAATCTTAATAGTCTTTTTGAAGTCATGAAAGGGCTCATCGAAATTCATCACATAATCAGTTGGGAGAAATTGCTTTTGCAATTTGGCATTCATTAATCTCCAAGTTCGAATGTTAGACTATTCCAGCCTATTCTGTTGCTCCTTGCGTGGTTTCTACCAAGAAAGTGCAGTCCTCTTCAACTATCGATTTACCTAAGGAACTCTCATCCTTGCTTCCATAGCACTTTCCAGATAGTTCTTCATCTCTGATACCAAATTTGATGTAGGAAAGGAATTCAAAATAGAATTTGTTTGACTTAGAGATTGTAGGAGAGGGCTGTAGATATCAAATAGCCAGCCCAAAGGTTTGTCTTCTGGTTTCTAATTCCAGAAAATGAAGTAAACAATTTGTTTGAATTGTTTTTTTTTTCTAAAATTTTAAATTCCTCAATAATTGTGAGAGTATTTTAAATAGCAAAAAAACTCTATTAGGTGCAAATACTAACCCTTAAAATAAATCTCCGGCTATGCAAAATAAATTAAAGATGATAACACAAGAAGACAAGCATTTAAATTAAGAAATTGTTACATGATGTGAATAGTATCATGCTACACCAATGAGAGAGTTGGTTTCCCCTTTTTTCTTCTCTGGTTACTTTAGCTTCTCTTTTGCATTTTCGGTTACTCTTCCATCTATATATCTGGGTGGTTTTAATCTTTGTTTTATTTTTTCATTTTTGGCCCCTACTCTTCACAATCTGTTGCTTAAAGAGTTTCCAGCATCCATCTGTCCCGCCCCTGGACTCCCAAAGTCCATGCCCCTTCATTGGCAATGCTGTCTCTAGGGGCTAGGGACATCTGTGATATGTTTGTATCTTCTTTGTTCTTTTTTTTTTTTTTTTTGGCTTGCTAATAAACAAAGGGTATGATGGCTTTTGCTTTGGATAAATTGTTCTCTTTACCATGAGCCTATTCAAGTAATATGTTTATATCATTCCACGTTATAACTGTTTTATGATTATTTTGCCCATAGATAATACTAGTATGAGATTATATGTAGAACCATGAGATTGGACCTTTTTGGTTATGTTAAGCTAGGTTTATTTCTTCTTTTTGATTTGATTATTATGAAAAAGAAGAGAACCTTTTGGTGATGTGTAAGCATGTAAAGGTCTTTTGTAATGTGTCATTTGGGATTTAGCTATGTTTATTAGATCATTTCGTTGTTCTCTCAACCAGTCTCTGTCTGAATGGCAACTCTATATTTTATTTAGATGGCCGTTCAAGATATGCCAGAAGTGCCTACTAGAGCAAAATCTGAAGAACAAAACTTGGGTCTTCCTGATGTGCCAGCCAAGAAACCAGTTGCTTCCAATGCAGCTAGAGACGATGCTGAAATTGCATCAGCTGGAATTTCCACAAAAAGAGGTCTCTCTCTCTCTCTCTCTCCCTATAATAAATGTACCAACATAAGCACTCACACTTTCCCAAAATGCCCATAAGCACACACATCACACGTGCATGTACTCCCTACTTGATTGATAACTTCAAACTCCTGACAATTTTTGAAAACACAGTTATGGAGGACCCCCTGCCTGCATGATCGAGAAAACAACGTGGCTGTTTCATTATCTGCAGTCTGCCATTACTAATGAACATCTTCTGGCTGCCTCTTTTTCCTCTTTCCATATTTGTTAATTTTCATGATTGTCCACGTGACGGGTTCAGTTTGGCGGTCAATTATTTCCGTATTGTCAGTTTGTACAGATCTGTATAACCAAGCAGGATGGTTTGGGGCAGTTTTTGCCAGTTCTGTTGTTAGCCATTTGTTAAATTTAGTTTTGAACACATGCAAGCGGAATTATTTGGATATACCATTGGATGTTATCGTTAACAGGACGGTCTGCTAATTAAGGAATCTGCACATATAAAAAGAACTATAGTACAACATAAATAAATGGTGTTAATTAGCTTGCATCCAATCAAGTGCTTTACATGTTTTCACTTGTTACTCTGCATCTTGATAGTCAAAAAGTATTCAAAACTTTTGTCATATTTTTAGCTTAAAATAATTAAAGATTATATTATAAAAGCAAAATCATATATTGCATTTTATTTAAAAAAAATATCACTTATAACATTTTCAAAATGACCTAATATCAATTGAAATCTACTCAAAACTAAAAGCATATCGAACTTGAAATAATTTATATTCACGTTAATTCAAAACTTAGGCTATTCACTTGAAATTATTAGAATATAAAATTATTCAAATTTTAAAAAAATTAACTCAAAATAATTTAAAATTAAAATGACACAGAATTTAAAAATAATCAAATCCAAACGCTGATTCATTTGCCACATTTAAAAAAAAAATGATTTTGCTACATTAATTTATAAGTACCAAACCTATTTTTTATGCAAAAAATTATTAACATTTTTTTTATTTAAATTTCATTTTTTTCCTATTTCTCACATTCATAGGCAAATCCACATAGGGGTATAAGGTTGGTAACAGGATAGATCGAGATGAATTTTTGTTCGTCTCAAATTTGATCCGATTTTATAATCATAAAATTTGAATTTAATCCGATTTAAAAATTTTTGTTATTTTTTTTAATATTCGAATTTGACTCAATCCGATATTATATAAATCGTATTTGATTGGACTTAAAATTAATAAAATATTATTTTTTAAATATAATTCTATAATTATATAAATAATTAAATTAAAAACTAATTTTTATATAATATCTTATTAGATCATATCAAATAAATTTTTTTAAAATTAAAATCCGACTCTATCTCAATTTTTTAAAATATTATTTACTCAATCTAATCTGAAATTTAATTTAAAAAAAATAATCCTACAAAATTAAATTGAATTAAATTCATTGAGGACGAATTGAACTGCCACCCAATAGGGGGACCTGGGCAGCCGCCTCCACTAAAATTCTTGCCAACCTTTTTTATCGGCCACCCAACAAATATGATTATTGAAACCATTCTTACAGCGTTCAATAGAAACTCACAACCGTAACAAACACAAGAAGACAACTAATTTCCTGCCAACCTCAATGGTGTTTCATTTAAATTTTTGTACTTTATATAAATAGATATTTTTATTAAAAATTACATCAAATTATTTATCAAATTTTATGTTTAGATATTATTTCTAATTAGCTTTTTTCATCATTTTTCTCATTAAAACTAAATTAATTTATTAATTTTACATTGAATATTTTATTGAAATTTTTTAATAAAATAAATTTACTAAATTATCATAAACGAGTGGCAAAAACAACTTATTCGTGGAGCTTACCAAATAAAGACGATTTATTTTTTTTATTATTAGAAACGGACACGAGATTGCAAAATTCAATGCGGGTGGCTGTGACAGCGTCAGAGGTGTGATAATAAATAAGGGGAAAAGAAAGAGCAGCGGAGTGGAGTAGAGTGGAGTGAAGCATCGTGTCTTGATATTTGTGAAGTAGGTGGGTGAATTTGAAATCGGTGGCCTTTGGATCGAGGCGTTGGTCGATGGGGGAAGAAAGGGAGGAGATGAAGGCTGCTGGACTTGGAACTGGATATCGGGAATTCAGTGGAAGGCATGAATTCCCGTCCAACATAGTGCACGGCGTGTTAGCTGTTGCTTTATGGCTTTGGACTCTCCATTTAAACGCCCTCTTGCTTCTTTCCATTCTCTTCCTTCCTTTTTCCAAATTCCTTGGGTTTGTCCTCTTTCTTTTTCCCCCTTAAATCTTTTCATTTTTAAGTATTAGTTTTATTTTTTATTGGAAATAAAGAATTTAAATGCCCAAATTCATTTCTTTCTTCTCAGGGTGCTTGGATTCCTTTTGGTTTTCATTTTTCTCCCTATCGATCCTCACAGTAAATTTGGGCGGAAGTTGGCCAGGTACTAGTACTACTGCTCTGCTCTCTCTTATTATGCTAGTAGAGTAGATTATATGAATATCATATTACTTCATGGATCTTAAACTTTTAGGCGTATTGGTTTGATTCTCAAATTTTATGAAAAAAATACATCCATTGGATTCGGGCGAATCAAAAACCTTTACTTTTATTGACTTTTTTTTTTTACAAAATTTATTTAATAAAAAATAAAATAAAAATTTAAATGAAAAAACCCCAATAAGAAATAAAAATATATAGATTTTAGAGGAAAGAAAAGGGGAGATTTTTAATGAGTTTGATTTTGTTTGATTGGATTTGATTTAGTATTATTAGTTCGTTATGTATTATTATATAATTTATATAAAATTTTATTATAAAAAAAAAGTAAAAAAGTTCTTAACAATCTTTTGTAAAATTTTTATTTTAGAGTTAAAATAAAAGAAATTGTTGGAAATTTTTATATATCTTATTTAAGAAATAAGATCAAAAAAATAATGATGAATGATAGAAATTGAAATCTCTGAAATTTTTATTTGAAATATTTAAACAAATAAAAAGAAAATAGTCTACTAAATGGCCGGATGTAGCCAAGTGCAACATTCCAGCTTTTTTCAATCTCTACAAAATTAATATTATAGATTTTAGAAAATATTTTTTTATCAATTTTTAATAAATATTTTTTATTTTTACTTGTTTTAATATAATTTTTATGTATTTTCATTATTTTAAAGTTAAAATTAAATGAAAAAAACCATAATGTGCACATCACTGTATATGTGTCCATTCACGGTTGTCAACTGGCATTTAACACCAAAATTAATGGTTGAATGATGGAATGATCAATTTGTTATGACTTTGAAAATATAAAATCCATTAAGTTACGTTTTAAATTTTGAGGATCAAAATGATATGTGACCCAAAATTTAGGGATCATGTAAATAATTTACTCTTTTAATTGTCTTTTCTTTCTTCCTTTAACAAATGATAATGGCTATGAACAGGTATATATGTAAGCATCTTTGCAGTTATTTTCCCACCACTCTCTATGTTGAGGACATTCATGCCTTTCATCCCGATCGCGCTTACGGTCTGTTTCCTTCTTTCTTCTTTTTAAATTTTACTTGGGTGAAAAACTCGCTTAGTTGCAGGCTATTATTCTCAAATGTTAAAATAAGATGACAGTAAACAAGGTAATATGTATTTACGTTTTGCAAAATGTTTGTTTTATATGAGCATCTTTGCCTTTTTTTGCTAAGCTCAAGCGTGTCTGAAGTTCTGAAACTGTGGGACACCTTCATTTGGCATTAACTAATTCTTGAAAAATGCTTGAATTTGTGGTCTCAAAAACATCACCATGCAAAATTAATTGAATTGTGAAATGTATACTTCAAAAGTTGTATTAGACCATGAAAAATCATATTGCTCAAGCTTATCTTTCATGGTGGTTTAGACAAAAATGTATTTGTTGGATTTAATTAGATAAAAAATTAGTGACAAACTTGCAAAAAGAAAAAAAAAAAATCTTAAAGGAAGATACAAAGAAAACTCATGAAACATAACATTTACAAGATATTCAGAACAAATAAACACCAATAACATATGTAAAAACTAAATTACAGTCATATAAGAATAGGAGGAAAGCACTTAAAAGAAATTTTAGTAATAAAAGCACAGGAAAAATAAAAAAGAAATATTCCAAAGGAAAAAAGAGAATTGCATAATTATCTATACCTTAGTTAATAAAGTAATTGAAACTATAGTTGGCAATGGAAGAAGAAATCAATAAATAAGAAATAACGTTAAATACATTTGAATCAAAAGTATAAAAAATAAAATTAAGAAATAAAATTAGTTAACTTTGTAAATACTAAAAACTACCAACTAAATGGAAAAGAACATAAACTAAAATGATATATTAAGAACAATTACATTAACATGTTACTTGATTGAACTTAGCAAATAACATTTTACTTGATTGAACTTAACAAATATATATAGATAAGATAATAACTAAATCTAAAAATGATGAAAATAATAAAAAAAGAAATAGTATAAAATAAAAAATACTTGTTATTTTCATAATAATTGATTGAACTTATCCAAATTGAAAGCAAAGCTAAACAAAGACCTGCAAGAAGAAAAAAGAAAAACATGTTAGTAAAGGACAAACCAAGTTGAATCAAGAAGTAAAATACAAAATAGAGCAAAATAGGTTTGAAGTTTTCAACTCTCTTCATTTTCTTGTTCCTTCCCTTCTTTTTTTTTTTCTACTAAAAAAAAACCTAATTTTTATGGGAAATAATAAAAATGAAAATTTTAGCAGATCTTACCATCGCCAATATTTTTTTATAAGAAAAACATTCCCTCTCTCTCCCGTTTTCTCCATACTTTTTCCTTTTTCTTCTTCTACCATTACTTGATTGAAATCCATAAAAATAATCACTAAAAAGAAATTAAAATATGTAAATAAAAAATCAGATTTGAAGCAAAATTGATAAAAGAACAAAGTAAATAATAGAAAAAAAAGGCTAGCTTAGTCAATGCATAATAATTGTTATCAACATTTCCAATAGGATTTGAATACAAAAGACATGATAACATGAAAGCAGAAATGAAAATTTAACTTGATGGGCATTTGGAAATGGAAGTCTCTTCATATCATGTGAGTCTCTTCAAATTTAACCTGAAGATGAAAATAATAAATAATTACAAAGATGCAAAATCCCATCCTTCATTAAAAACCAAATCTTCTAATTTTTTACTTTATTTTTCTAAAAAGAAAAAACTAATTAAGCCTTCTCTAGCAAGCCTCTTTTGTTGTTTCTACTAAATCAGATGGGGATTCTAGACCCATGCTTAATTTTATCTCTACTTTGAACATAAATGTATGTGCATGCATAGAAGAGTAATCGAGCTGAGTCAATATAGTAAAAAGCTCAAACTCGAGCTCAACTCTAACCTCGGGGCTCAAAATTCAATATAAACTCAATTAAGCTCATTTGTCAATTAATAATTGAGTTTGATTCTCATACTCAACTTTAAACTCAATTATTTATATTCGAATTCAAACTCGAATAGAAATTTTTTGCAAATATTTTTGTCAATTAAATGAAATAAATAATACTATTTTTCAAGTTAATAATAAATAAAAATAAAATAAAACCTTATACAACATCCAAATCCAAAATTTTCTATAAAAAAACCAAAAATCAAAATCAAATTAATCATAATTCCTATAGCTAAGAACTGGCTATTACTAATGCATTCAGCTTTTGTTTCAACTTCATCTTTCTTTGAATGTTATCTGCAGATTTTTTTTTAAAAAAAATCATCTAATAAGGTTTTGATAATTTTAGCAATATATCCTAACTTTGTCAACAAAGTTAAAAAAGAAAAAATGCAAGAAGATACTGTCAACGTTTATGAAGTAGTAAAGGAAAACCCCATATCACCTATTCCAAGTTATTTACCTTCCTCAAGATCGAGGACTATTAATTGTATCATTTAAAATTAAAGCATTAAAATATAATATATTATATAACAATATCATGCATATTAATAATTTTGATTAATTATAAATCTAAATTATGTAAACATATAATAATTTAAGCTAAATAATAGTATGTTTTATAATTATATTATAACTAAATAATTATTAATATATATTATAATAAAATATAAAATGTCATAATTTAATAATTATTAATTATTAGTTATAATTAATTATTCAATTAATATTGATTTATGAAAAATTATTTAATATACTGATAATAGAGTTTTTAACTTTTTAAGCGGGATTAAATTAGTGACACATATCTCACCTTTTTTTTAAATTAGTTTTTTTATTTTTTTAAATATACATTAAGGATATATGTCACCATTTTAATTTTGCTTATAGAGTTAAAAAACTCCATTATCAGATTATTAGATAATTTTTCTTGGTTTATTAACCATATATTTAAACATTTTAAATAGTCATAATAATTCATCAATAGTTTGATTATAATTAAATTTAATATGTAAATAAATTATTGTATTCTGGGGCTTATATAGGGTTTATTTAATTTATTAATATTTAGATACCTTATAAAGTATAAAGGTTATGTTAGGTGCATAGGATAATAAATGAGATCGGATGATAATCATCTTATGTTATGTTAAGTTTGTATCTGAAAAAAAATAGGATTGCAAGGAAGATTAATTATTCTTTTGGTATAGGATGATTTGGTCCTCTCAAAACGGAAAAGATTATTTTTAATTCATGAGATTGAATTTACATCTCTTATTATACCCTTAAAAATTACATCAATAACTTAAATTATATACGCTTTGAGGAAAATTAATTTTACTCAATAAATAAATTATCGTATCCTAATTCTTGCACACATCAAATACAAGATAAAATGACATTATTTAATTTTATTTTATTTATAATATCATCTTATTTTTTCTTATCATAATTTTGTGTATCAAACTCATCCAAAGAATAAACAAACATTCTCCTTCTTTGCTTACTTTTTTTGCCACTTGTATCAATTTCCTTGTAAGCATATTTTGCCTGTGGGTGCTCAAGAAAGTGTTCATGTTATCAATTTTTTCTACTTAGCTTACTTTTAGCTTCCTTTCTTTTTTGTTAATTAAGCATACAAACAAAAATAAATAAAGAATAAATAAATAAAAAATAATGGACCAAATCTTGAGCAACTAATAAATCTTAGCTTGTAAATGATGCAGTTTTTGGTTATGAGCCACATTCAATTTGGCCAATTGGAGTTGTTACACTCGCTGAACTTACAGGTTTCATGCCTCTTCCGAAATTGAAAGCCCTTGCAACCAGCGTTGTAAGACCTTTCACCCCTAACTTTTTCTCATATTGTATGCATTTTACACTTTACGACTCAATTTTTTTCAGCCGTAATATGTATATGGGTGAATGATTAGGTATTCTACACTCCATTTTTGAGGCACATATGGACATGGTTGGGTGCCTCAGCAGCAACAAGGAAAAATTTTTGTTCCCTATTGGATGCTGGTTATAGTTGTATTATAGTGCCTGGTGGAGTGCAGGAGATATACCACATGGAGCATGGTTCTGAGGTTTCATTCTTCCTATTCTTTATTCTTCTTACTTTTTAACTAAGGAAGGATGTTTTCAGCCCTTCTGAGATAACTTATTTATAATGGCTATTTTTCTCCAATGCTCAAATATGAAAAGGGGTCTTTTTTTTTATTTTTTTTCTTGCTCTTCTTCTTTATCTGTTTATGTTGGCAACTGATCAATTTTGGCTTGCCTTACAGGTTGCATTCCTTAGGGCACGAAAAGGATTTGTTCGCATAGCCATGGAAATGGGTTGTCCATTGGTCCCAGTTTTCTGCTTTGGTCAGGTGCATTCTGCTTTTTCTCTCTCTTCTTTCACTGACCCCACATTTGTGCAGCTTCAAAATTCATCAATTTCGGCATTTCTACCAGATAATTCTTCATTTATTCAATGCTTTCTACCTGAAATACCCATTCTAGTCTAAAAGCATGCAACTATAGGATAAACTTGCAACTATTGCGTGGCCCTTATTTTCTTGCTTGATCCACTATCTAAAACCTGTCAGTTTCTGAATTTGTTATTTTAACAGTTTATCTATTGTTATTTTTCTAACAACTTCCACATTCTACATCACCTAAATCAAATTTCCTTGCTTCTTACTCGTGTGCTTCAGTCACATGCCTACAAGTGGTGGAAACCAAGTGGGAAGTTGTACCTGCAATTTGCCAGAGCTATCAAGTTCATTCCCATGTTCTTTTGGGGAATTTTCGGGTATGCATAAAATTATAAGTTCTCTTGTATGCTCAATAGGAACCCTTTTTGTTCTTGTGTTGAATAAAAACTTAGTACATTTTTGCATTTCAAAAAGAATAATATAATTTCAGTTACTTGTGAATCCTTGATGATGAATCTTGTGCAGTCCAAGATGTCAAGAAAATCTTTGGGAACATCTTATGATATTCCTCCAAAAAATGCAATGTTTTGCTGGCAAAATTTTATTTACCACTTTGTTTAATATATTGAAATCTTTGCAGGATGTAAATAGAAAGTGAAAGAAATGTTAAGTGATGATCCTTTGTTTTGATTTAAATGAATTTTCTTTTGGGTAAGTTTACTAGAATATGATCCTTTTCTAAGGAAGAAAGATGATCTTCAAATCAAGTATAGGCAGGTGGGAGGAGAGGGTAAAACAATGAGAGATGGTTTCCTCCTGTCCTGTTGTATAACCTAAGTAATGCATTTCAATAAAAGAATTAATTAAAAAAAAAAAGAGTTTCTGCTGCTTGTATGTCAGTGGTGGTGAAGCTTGACGGAAATTGATGGCATCTTGATTACTCTCATGACAATACAAAAGTTGGAAAAGAGGGGTGAAAAGGAAACTACTAATAAAACTTTTCTGTTTGCATTAATTACAAATCAATCCTTATCCAAGTCTTAATATTGGGAAATGTACAATGTGTTTATCTGGAGCTGTTTGAAATGTGTAACCATCAATCTTTTTTGCAGAACTCCTTTACCCTATCAACATCCAATGCATGTGGTGGTAGGCAAACCTATTGAGTTGAAGAAAAATCCACGGCCTACAGACGAAGAGGTACTGATGGCCCTGTATGGTTTCCAGTAGTGGTTTGTGTTATAGTGTCCCATTAGGTAGAATTTACTACTATTGGTGAGTCCTGCATTGACATAGTGAGATTGAAAACTCCTAGTTCGTGCAAATGCCTTTTGCTTAGTGAGTAAAAATGCTAAAGAACATTCAGCATGTTAAAGAGTAAAGAAAACTTGCCAATGAACATTTGCATGGCTACTTTCTACATTAAACTAAAATCCACTGAAACACATGTATGTCTCAATCTTCAGAGAGCTATGTGAGTCATAACTTAAAAACTGAAACGCTCATTGACTGGTCTAGTTGTTGTGATACAGCAACAGTTGGCATTAATAATAACATATGCATTAATCAATCTGTTTCCCAGGTCCTTGAAGTACAAGGCCAATTTATTCAAGCCCTTCAAGATCTCTTTGAGAGACACAAAGCTCGGGTTGGATATGCTGATCTTCCATTAAGGATTCTTTGATATGAACTTACTTTGGGGTTGAGTCCTTTCATGGAATTCTGTTTGTTGAGGTATTCCAAGCAGAGAACAAAGCTAAAGCAGGATTTTATCAATAAGAAAATTATTTCATTGCAAATCTTCCCCTATAAATGAATATTCTGAACTGATTTTTATTAATGCAGCTGCCCCTTTTTGGCAATGCTGCGCGTCCATTCCATTTTGTGATAAATTTGTTGGATAAACAATCAATGAAATGATTAAATGAAATCAAGAGCTATAGATATAATTAGAGGTAGAATTGATCAAGTTCGAGTTGATAAAATAAGTTTAATTTTACATTTAAGTCTTAAAATTTGATCGAATTTTATTTTTTAATTTAAGTTTGATTTAAATTAAAAATTAAATTATTTGAGTTCGTTTGATTAAATTTAATTAATATGTAAAAATAAATTTAATTTTTATATTTCATAAAAATTTGATTATTTGTGTTTGAGTATAAATTTAAATTTAAGATATTTTATTTATTAAAATAATTAAAATATAAAAATTTAATAAAATTTTTGATTTATTTGAGTTAGATATAAAAATATTTAAATTTAATTTAATTAATGATTGATAAATTAAATTATTTGATTTTAAATTTAATTTGATAATAATTGAATTGAATTTAAATTTTATGAAATTTTGTGGATATTATCGTGCTATTTATATATTTAACCACCACCACTCGCGGCCATTTGCATATGAGTAGTTGGCAATGTTTGGTTTAGAATAAGCTGAGGAGAAACGCCTAGCTGTCCAAATTTATTTCTTGAAAAGACATAAATTAATATTAATTAACGGCAAATATTATCAACAAAGAATTTAAATGTTTTGTCAACAAAAGTAATCAATGTTGAATTTTTTACTTTTGATTATGGAGTGAAACTAATATAAAATGCACTAAATAGGATCATCAAATAATTTTTTAATACCATCCTGTATTATAATTTCAACAACTAATAATAGAAAATGATGTTATTAATTTGATATTTGATTTTGTTATAAAAATAATAATCTACAATATATATTATTGTAATTATTCCATATTTAAAATTTAATTTTAACACAAAACTAAATGAAACATAAAAAAAAAATGATATTATAATTTCCACATATAATAAAAATTGAAGTTGATGTTTTGTATAAAACATTAGTTACATTATTAATAAAATTAACTTTAAATTATTTTTTTAATTGTTTAAATATATAAAAATGTTATATTTACTTAAAAATAGAAACATTATCTTGTAAAAGTAAAATATATTGTTTTAAAATTAAATTATAAAAGTTAAAAAAGTTAAGTAATTAACGAAAGAAGAAAGAAACCAAGGGCCAATGAGATACCCAAGAGTGAAGAGTTGAAAAGGAAAAAAAAAAAAAAAGGGTGCTGCTTTTATTTGAATTTAAAAACAATATAAGTATACAACCATCGCCAAATAATTAAAAAAATACTAAACCATTTAGCTTTTATTTGAATTCAAAGAATAGATTAAAAAATAATAAATAATATTCAAATACAAAAATATTGATACCTAATATATAAATAAAATTATTATATAATTTATATTTATATAAATATTTATCAACTTATTTTAATCTTTAATTTTCATTTAAATAAATTATTAGTTATTAATTTATATCTAAATAAATTTTTAAATTTTAATTTATATCTAAATAAATACTTAATATAAATCAAAATTTCATTTTTTACATAATATTTTGTTTAAAATAAAAAATAATTTAAAAAATGAAACAGTAAAATAACCTTTTTGTAATATTTTAACTTAATTATTTTTTCCTTCAGTTGAGATTTGCCACTCACTCCATGATGGACGGATTGACACAAGACACGAAGTGGGGGCAACTCCCTAGTAAGATCCTAAAATATTTTAGGTTTATTATAAAAAAATATTGTCAGAAGCTTCATAATCAAAGCTCTGTCCTTTTTTGCCTAGCTAAATTGCGGGTCATCCAATAAAATTTTTTATTGTATATTTAGTAATTGAGCTTTTTTATTTTAGGTTATTAATAATTCTATTTTAGACAATGTTAATATACATGGTATATATTATTTGTAAATTATATAATGATATTTTATAAAAAATTTAATTTTAAAAATTTTAAAAATAAATTTTATGAGATATAATCGATAGATTCTCTGTAATATATAATCAAATATAAATTATTTTTTTTATTAACAAATGCGACAAAAAGGGTATGCAAATTAAAAGTGGGTTGTTGAGCATGTAATAATAAATTGAAGGAATGGAGGGGAGTGAAGTGAAGTGAAGTGAGGAGTGTTGTTATTTGTTATACAGGTGGTGTCGATTATATCAAGGCATTAGTCGATGGGGGAAGAAAGGGAGGAGATGAAGGCTGCTGGACTTGGAGCTGGATATCGGGAATTCAGTGGAAGACATGAATTCCCGTCCAACATTGTGCACGGCGTGTTAGCTGTTGTGTTATGGCTTTGGACTATTCATTTAAACGCTCTCTTGCTTCTTTCCCTTCTCTTCCTTCCTTTTTCCAAATTCCTTGGGTTTGTCCTCTTTCTTTTCCCCCCTTAAAGCTTTTCACTTTTGAGTATTACTTTTATTTTTTTATTGGAAATAAACAATTTAAATGCCCATATTCATTTCTTTCTTCCCAGTGTGCTTGGATTCCTTTTGGTTTTCGCGTTTCTCCCAATCGATCCTCACAGTAAATTTGGGCGGAGGTTGGCCAGGTACTAGTTCTACTGCTCTGCTCTCTCTTATTATTTATGCTATTGCTTTAATTTTTAATTAATTAATTGGCTTTTTTTTTTTTTTTTACAAATAATAATCGCTATGAACACAGGTATATATGTAAGCATCTTTGCAGTTATTTTCCCACCACTCTCCACGTTGAGGACATTCACGCCTTCCATCCCGATCGTGCTTACGGTCTGTTTCCTTCTTTCTTATTCTTCTTTTAAATTTTACTAAGGTGAAAAACTTGCGCTGTGCTGCGGGACTGTCATTCTCTCGTGTGTATATATATATATATATTAACCTTGCTGGAACAAAGAGTCCAGTACTTCAATTTAGTGACTCAAGCCAATAGTGATAATGCATTACAATCTTGTAGTAAGTGTCCTTAGAATAGCAAAAGTGCATTATGATTAAAAAAAAAAAAAAACATCTTGGAGTTTGCATGATAATAACCTGAAATGATACAATGGCCGAAGGAAATTTTTAAAAACAAAAGAAAAAAAAAAGTCAATGTATAGAACATACATTAAAAAAAGCCATCAAAGTAAATCTAATCTATAACCTAAGCAAATTCACAATCTATTTAAAAGATAGAGTAATTAAAGAAATTTGGAAAGCAATTAATTCTAAATTTAGAAAATGAAATATCCTATCATTCTCCTATGAATCATGATTACTAAAATCGCAATATCTATATTGTAGGACTTTATAATTCTACAATCCCAAGGTTCCAAAACAACCAAAATCAACCATAAAATCATATTTTGGCTGGATCTTTGTTTGATTGAAATATAGAACGCTAGGATTAATGTCTAAATAATCAATTCATCTCATAGGTTTAACAAATACCGTTTAATCATTTCCCTTCTAACTTTTTATTTCTCTTCATTTCCTTGTAGCTTAAATTTTAAAACACGGTGTTAGAATGCATTAAGAATCAACCTCAGCTCACATTTGAACAACTAAAGGGAGTATGTAATGTGTATTCCAAAACTCTGTGAGACAACATTGACCCGTGCTGCAGTTTAGAATTCTGAGAGAGACAGAATCATATCTACCAAAAGATATAAGCAGAGTTATCCAAAGTGTTGCCCTGCCCTGATTGAACGAACTTGATTTTTTTATAAGAAACTCAAACTTGATGCATTATAAAATTGGCCATTAACCAACAAAAAGTACAAACATCTTTTTTCCCAGCAAATTGCAAGCAGGAGCCAACAACCCAAAAATCAATGTGCATAGCCGCACATACGAAATTTAAATATGGAATTCTATCTAAGAATGTAGAATGTGTAACATTCAACTAAAAATAAGGATGAGAGTAAGAGCCAATTTACCAAACATACCTCCTCAACCACTAAAACAAATGCAGGACATGAAAGAAACATACCCCTAAAGTTAGCTCAACACTAAAACAACCTTGTAATTTTGGAACCTTGATCATTTTTCAGATATAACTTTCCCTACCTTTCTGCTCTACAACTGCAAGCTTAGTACTGTTTCTTACTTGGGTTCCAGTTGCAGGGAAGCACTGCAAAATAACCATAGTTCAGATTAAGTCCATCAAAAAATGAATTGCATAAGATCAAAGACACCAACTCAATATGATGAAGAACATGAAGCACATAAAAATAAATTAATCTGTCATGTCATAGCGGTAAATAAAATTTCTATGCATTTCTACTTCATAACATCTTCAACTATTTTATGTTTACATGAATGATATTATGATAGGAAGCACTAGTTTGTTGCATGTTCAATGAAACCCCGATTCAACCAACAGTCTTAATGATTGTGCCAATTTAATTAGGCATGTGAAGCATATCAATGGATCCATATAACAAGGAAAGGGATGGTTCATATCCAATACCAAATGCATTTTTCTAGTTAAGGAAAATTGAAACAGGTGGGAGAAGTGAATACCTGCTCAATATAACAGCTGTTGCAGTAAAGGCAAATTTACATTAAGGAAAATTCTAATGAACAAAAATATTAGCCTAAAGAAAATATTTGAAAAAACAAAAGATGAAGCTAATCATAATCAGCACATCTTCACCATAACACAAGAAAAAATGCTAACGAAACTAAATTTGAAATGTAAATATTCGATGAGGAAATATCTGAAAAAACCAACATGCAAATCTCACCGTATAATCTTCAACATTACAAAAAGGATTTGAAGACAAAACATATGATCACATAAAAAATGAAATCAAAACTTAACTGGCTAGGCTTATGGAAATATAACTCTCCTCCTATCATGTATGTAAGTCTCCTCAAATTTCAAGGAAAATAAAAATAATAAATAATTAAAAAATGCAAAATCTCTTCCTACAGAAAGAAAACAATGGAATAAGTATTAAATTTTAATTTTTTACTTTATTTTTTAAATAAAAAAGAACCACAACTAATTAAGCTTCCTTTAGTGAGCCACTCTATTGCTTATGCTAAATTGGATAGGGATTCTAGACCCATCCATGGTTTCATCTCTCCTTTGAACATGAATGTATGTGCATGTCACGGTTCCACACATCAGACAAATCTAATTCTAAAAAATAAATCAAACAAAAAAAATTACAGCAAAAAAAAAAAAGGTAAATAAAAAAGGTAAATAACACTAAGTGAAAGTTTGAATAACATCTCTACCTCCTTTGTTAGGAACCCAAATTTTCTATGGCATCTTTTTACTCTTCATGCATTCATACAACAAAGTGGCAAATTTTTTCTATTTTTCTAAACACGTTTACTGGAAAAAAAGCTTTTCATGCATTCATATATACATATACATACATACATATATATATATATATATATATATATATAACATCCAAGTATCATCCTTAAGCATAACTTACCTGGTTAATCTCTTCAGTTAAAATAAAAAAAGACAAAGCAAGTCCTCATCTTTGCAGAAATATTCTACTATTTTCTTTTATTCTCCCCTTTTTCTCCCTCCATCTCTTTCTCTTTTCCAACAATACCACATGAATTGTAACCAGCTGCCAATCCAATCACTAAAACACCAATTCAGACACTGCAGCCATTCTTAAAAATTTTAGGAAAGAATTAATTAATTGACAAGAAAAGCCTCAAATTGGTTGATTGTGGACAAATCATGATGAAAAGAAAAAAAAATGGAAGAAAGGTTGAATGGGAAAGAGAACAAAGAGAAAAGAAAGAAAGAACTGGAAAGAAATAGAGAGGCGGGGTGAAAATCTGTATTAATTTGGGAAAAAAAAAAAGAATAGGTTTGAAAATTCTAGTGATTTGGGGAAAGAGATGATATACAAGGATTTTTTTTTTTTTTTCAGACTTCCTTTCTTATAACCTTTTAATTCTTCTTTTATATCCTTGTTTTCTCCGCTCATGTCTCTTCTTTTTTCTCTTTCTAATTCATCCAATTAAGAGACACAAACCCTCAAATCCTAAGCGTAAGCCCACCAAACTCAAACAAAAGACAGCTGTAAACATTAGAAACCCTTAGGGATTCTTTTAATAAGAAAGGTATATATTTCATGCAAATTGTGAATTATGCCCCTTCGCCATTACTTCACTTTTGTTGCTCATGCTCTGCATATATTCTAGATACCTTATATAAAGTATAAAGTTTAAACAAACATTCTCCTGTGCCTTGTATTTGCTGCTTATATCAATTTCATCGGAAACTTTTCGCCCTTGTGGTACTCACGAAAGTGCTTATTTTTATCAATTTCTTCTACTTCTTAGCTTCCTTTTAGTTCCCCTGCTTTTTTTTTCTTTTTTGTCAAGAAAACATACAAGCAAAACTAAATAAATTAAAAAAAAGTAAAGCACCAAATCTCGAGCAACTAATAAATCTTAGCTTGTAAATGTTGCAGTTTTTGGTTATGAGCCACATTCAGTTTGGCCAATTGGAGTTGTTACGCTTGCTGAACTAACAGGTTTCCTGCCTCTTCCGAAACTGAAATGCCTTGCAAGCAGCGCTGTAAGACCTTTTGCTCCTAACTCTTATATCCTAAACATTTCACACACCACGACTCAAATTTCTTTCAGCCGTAACATGCATGGATGAATGCTTAGGTATTCTACACTCCATTTTTGAGGCATATATGGACATGGTTGGGTGCCTCACCGGCAACAGGGAAAAACTTTTCTTCCCTATTGGATGCTGGTTATAGTTGTATTGTAGTGCCTGGTGGGGTGCAGGAGACATTCCACATGGAGATTGGTTCTGAGGTTCTGACTCTTTATTATTATTTCTTATTTCTTACTTCTTATCTAAGGAAGGAGGTTTTCAGCCCTTCGGAGACAACTTATTTATCATGGCCAGTTTTCTCCAACGCCCAAAACATACAAGGGGCTTTTTTTTACTTCTCTTGTTCTTTATCTGTGTATGTTGGCAACTTATAATTCTTGGCTTGCCTTACAGATTGCATTCCTTAGGGCACGAAGAGGATTTGTTCGCATAGCCATGCAAACGGGCTGCCCACTGGTCCCCGTTTTCTGCTTTGGTCAGGTACGTTCTGCTTTTTCTCTTTTCTTCCTCTGACCCCACTTTTGTGCAGCTTCAAAATTCATTAATTTCAGCATTTCTACCATATAATTATTCATTTGTTTAATGCTTGCTACTGGAATACCCATTCTAGTTTAAAAGTATCACCTTAATCTGTTTAATGCTTTCCACCTGAAATATGCCACTTCTGTCAATTTCTTAATTTGTTATTTTTATAGCTTCTTTTTTTTTAAATATTTTATTGTTATCTTTCTAACAACTTCAACATTCTATATCACCTTAATCAAAATTTCTTGCTTGTTACTCGTGTGCGTCAGTCACATGCCTACAAGTGGTGGAAACCAGGTGGGAAGTTGTTCCTTCAATTTTCCAGAGTTATCAAGTTCACTCCCATTTTGTTTTGGGGAATTTTTGGGTAAGCATAAAATTTTAAGTTCTCTGGTATGCTAATAGGAACCCTTTTTCTTCTTTGTTGAATATAAATTAAGTACATCTTTACATTAGAAAGTAATTAGTAATATATTTTCAGTTACTCGTGAATCCTTGATGATGAATCTTGTTCAGTCCAAGATGTCAAGAAAATCTTTGGGAACAACTTATGATATTCCTCGAGAAAATGCAATGTTATGCTGGCAAAATTTTATTTACCACTGTTTTTAATATATTGAAACCTTCACAGGATGTAAATAGAAAGTGGAAGAAAGTTATGATCCTTTGTTTTGATTTAAATGAATTTTCTTTTGGGTAAGTTTACTATAATATGATCCTTTTTAAGGAAGATAGAGGATCTTCAATTTAAGTATAGGCAGGTGGGAGGAGAGGGTAAAACAATGAGAGATGGTTTCCCCCTGTCCTGTTGTATAACCTAAGCAATGTATGAGGAATTCTATTTAAACCCCTTTTTTTTTCTCTATGCACTCCACTACTAAATACATCTCAAATTCAAAATTAAATTTTCTATTTCTACTAAATACACCTCACCCCTCACTTTCTATTTTTCTCTTCCTACCCTTTCACTCCTTCATTCTCTCTTTTTCCTTCTTTACTTTCAATCCAAAAAAAAAAAAATTGTAAATCTATCGAACTAACCCCAAATCACTTGTGTTTTTGGGTTTTACATTGATTAAAAATAAGATTTCTAACTTGTTTTCTATTGATTTGGTTGAAATTTGGATGAAATGCATGTGAATATAAGTTAGGGCTTAAGGTAGGATTTAGATGAAATAGAACTTCTCGCTTAAAGACTTATCGGAAATCCATTTTTGAGAAGACTTAAAGCTTTTCGGAAATCAAAAAGCCTAAAGGTTTCTCAAAAATCCATTATCGAAAATCCTTAAAGTTTCTTGAAAATTCAAAAACCTAAAGGCTTCTCCAAAATAGATTTCCAAGAAACCCTAAAACTAGGCTTTTTAAGCTTCTCGGAAATCCATTTCTGAGAAGACTTAAAGCTTTTCGGAAATCAAAAAGCCTAAAGGTTTCTCAAAAATCCATTAACGAAAATCATTAAAGTTTCTTGAAAATTCAAAAACCTAAAGGCTTCTCCAAAATAGATTTCCAAGAAACCCTAAAACTAGGCTTCTCGGAAATTTATTTCCGAGGGTCATAAGAAAAAAGAGAAAATTGAATATATGGGGTGGATGGGGGTAAAAGTGTAATTTACTAAAAGATAAATTTGGTATTTGATATGTGAGTATTTTTGGAAGGAAATTTGGGGATGCATAAAGAAGTTTGGGTGATGCATTTAGAAGACCCCGCAATGTATTTCCATAAAAAAATTAATTAAAAGAAAAAGAGTTTCTGCTCCTTGTATGTCAATGGCTGTGAAGCTTGACAGAAATTGATGATATGGTATCTTGATTACTCTCAAGACAATACAAAAGCTGGAAAAGAGGGGTGAAAGGGAAACTACTAATAAAACATTTTCTGTTTGAATTAATTACAAAACAATCCGTATACAAGTCTAAATATTGGGAAATATACAATGTGTTTATCTGGAGCTGGTTGAAATGTGTAACCGTCAATCTTTTTTTCAGAACTCCTTTACCCTATCAACATCCAATGCATGTGGTGGTGGGCAAACCTATTGACTTGAAGAAAAATCCACGGCCTAGCGAAGAAGAGGTATTGATACTCCTGTACGGTTGTATTATAATGTCCCATAGGTTGAATTTACTATTATTGTCACGTCCTGCATTGGCACAATGAAACTGAAAACTCCTACTTCGGGCAAATGCCTGTTTCTTAGTGAGTAATGATACTAAAGAACAAGGATTCAGCATGTTAAAGTAGAAAATAAAACTTGCCAATGAACATTTTGATGGCTACTTTCTACATTAAACTAAAATCCACCGAAACGTATGTGTTTCTCAAGCTACAGAGCTCTGATGAACAGACTCATAACTTAAAATCTGAAGCGCCCATTGACAGATGTAGTTGTTATACTTCAACACTTTGTATTTAAAGTTATATACGCATTAATCAATCTGTTTCACAGATCCTTGAAGTACATGGCCAATTTGTTCAAGCACTACAAGATCTCTTTGAGAGGCACAAAGCTCGGGTTGGATATGCTGATCTTCCATTAAAGATTCTTTGATATGAAATTAGTTTGGGTTGGGTGCTTTCAATGAATAATGTTTGTTTATGTGCCTATCTTCTTTATTGTCTTATTCAATTGGAATGTGAGGACAACAAAAGAAGTGCCAACTTAACTGGCTGGGAGATACTTGATTAAACATAGTTATAAACGTACATTTGATTTTACAAGTCTCAATTGCATGAATCGGTGAATATGCGATGTATCTGAGTAGGCCTTTTTTGTCCAGCTCGGATACTCGAACAAGGTTTGGTAATTCAAAAACTTACCAATGGAAATTAAGTTCATAAATAGTCAATTTATCCTTTTCATAAACTTATGCTTGGCAACAAGAGATGGATTTAAAGAGAACAAAACACAGAAACCGTACTGTTATCTTCATAGAAGGAGAACCACAGGGTCAAATTAGAGGAAATTCTAAATTGAATCATCAAAGGCAATCAAATGCTCACAAATTCCAAGTTAAGATATGATTGCACTACATTTAAACTTAAAATTGAAAAGCCAAGTTTCCATGATAAAGACAACAAGCATTACAAGTAAAAAAGTTGGGACCATACTCTGTTTTCCTCCAAAATGAAGTGGTTGTTTTGAAGTATGGTAACCAACAACACCTCTGTCCTGCATATCTAAAGAAGTAAAATTGTTATCATGGACATCCACTATGGGTAATATAGTTGCATCCAGGTTTTGCACATTCCAGAGCCAAATCTTGATAGGGCTTATCATATTCCATGCAGTCAGGGCAATAATAAATCCTCTTCTAATCGGGTTTTGTATGACGAGCTTATCTTTCACTTTAAAAGATAGGGCCGGGTTTGTTAGATGAGTAAGATTTGAGGCTTGAATTTAAGGATCGGATCCAATCTAAACAAATAAATATGATATTAATATTAGTTAGATTCGATTTAAATCCAATTCAATTCAAATCATAAAATAATTTTATTTTTACGTCATAAAAAAATTTTATCTTGAAATAAGTTTTTCTCAAAATGTTAGGGAGATTACCAATGATTTATAATTAGAGATTATTGGATTGGTAATTAGTAGAATTAAAAGACTATTATTTTCCTTTGTAAAAGACTTTGACTATTTAATCTTTTCATCATTACTAGCTAACACAACAAAAATTTTATTTTTATTCAATATAATATATATATATATATTTAGAAAAATTCTCATTTATAGTCTCTGCAATTTAAAAAATTCGCTAATAAAATTAAAAGGTTGATATGTACTTCATCCGTTTTGTGCTCTCTTCATTTATCTGCTTTGCTTGTCTATATTTATTTCTAATTCTATTATTTAAGTAATTTCTATCTTTTTTAATTTTGTTTGTAGTAATAGAGTAGTAGAAATTAGTGATTGGTTTTAAAAAATAGACCCTTTTTTGTTTTTATTTTTTTGAAAAATAAAAATTAAGAATGAAAATGCACTTAATAATTGAAATAAAAATGAGTTCAATTATGAAATTAAAAAAGTTTTCAATCGTAAACAACATAAATGCTTATTATTATTATTATTATTATTATTATTATTATTATTATTATTATTTGCTAGTTAAGAAACTAGCTCATATTTGAACACTTTTTTAAGTCATTAATTAATAAATATATATTATATAGTTATAATTAGAGGCCATTATATTATTTACAACCACCTTTTTTGTTTTTAAATATATTTGATATCTTGAATTATTTTTAATCTCTTTTGAATATTTTATTTATTTTTATAATCATTCATTTTTAAAAAAATGGATAGTGATATAAAATATATTTCACTATTTTGTATTTTTATAAAATAACTTTTGGTTTTTTTTATCAAATACATTTATTGAAAAATTAATGACAAAATGTCTTTCCAAAAAATGAAAATAAAAAATAAAAACAAAAACAATTTAAAAAAAACCAAACAGAGCTATTTTCTCTTTTATTGAATTTATTTATTTTTGTATTATTACAATTTAAAATTTTCAATACTATCTAATTAGCTTCTAATCCAAGTAATAATAGGGTAATTCTTTTTAATATTTAATCATATGGTTTTCATTAATATTACTATTAATGACACTAAAATCTTCATTTTAATATTAGTGGTTTTTGACACGTGTGAGGCACGAATAATTCTTATATCTAAAAATTCATTTTAATAAATAATTTTATACTATGATAATAATGATAAATATTAATATTTGATTTTAATTTTGGTATAAAATAAATAAATTTTGATAATTTTTTACATAATTTTTATTTTGATAACCTTTAATGAAATTTTGATAACTTTCAATATAATTTTGGTATCCTTTGATACTAGTTTGCTACCTTATGATATAATTTTGATAACTATTGATAAAATTTTGATAATCTCTTAATGTAATTTTAGTAATTAACAATTTGGTAATTTATTATATTCTTTTAGTAATCATTAATAAATTTATATTATCATATATTTAATAAGGGATTCTTGTAGGAATGTGAGGATTCAATTTTAGTATCAAACAATTTTCTTTTTATATAATAATAATATTATTTTATTCAAATTTAGAATTTTTTAAACAAAATTGTTTATTAAATAGGTTCTTTATAAGTTTATTTTAATCTCCCAAAATGAAATTTCTAATTTTGTTTCTGCTTGTAACCAATGTTCAATTTATGACAACTTTAAATATAAAAAAATTTATCAGTCATTGATAATTAAGTTATTATTAATTTACTATCATATTATCAGCGATTTACTACTAAACTATCATTGATATATTATTAAATATAAATGATTAGTATTGATTATCAATACAAAATTAGTATTGATTTACTACTAAATTATAAATTATTTACTACTAAGTTATAAATAATTTACTATTAAATTATTAATGATTTACTACTAAGTTATTGATGATTTGTTATAAAATTATAATTGATTACCATTAATCTATCAATGATTTACTATAAAATTATTAATAATTAACTAATTTACTACTAAATTATCGTTGATTTATAATTAAATTATTAGTGATTTTCTATTGAGTTATCAATAATTTACATCTAAATTATCAATAATTTACTATTATGTTATGATTTATATACTACTTAGTTTTCAATTATTTACAACAAAATTATTAAAAAATTATTATTAAATTAATCATGATTCATTATCAAGTTATTACTAATTTATATTAAACTAAGTTTTTTACACCTATGCTTTGCATGGTTAATTTCATAATTTGGTAGTATCAGAATTTATAAAATTTTGATAATTATATGATTTTATATTATATCATCAATATCATATTTATTTCTCTTTTTAATATTGTACTTAAATTTTAAATATAACTATAAAAATCTCAATAGTAAAGATGGATTAAATTGTTCCCTTTGTCCTAATAATTTGAAAATAAATGCCAGCTTATTGTTCTTTTAGTTATTTGATAATGAAAAAAAAATTATTTGTATCACGAATTTATTTTATTTAAATTTAATTTTTTGATAAATGATATGTTTTATTTATCTAAAAAGAGAAGAATATCATATTACTATTTGTTACTATTACAAATGATACAAACTACATATTGATAAATATAAATGCAAAATTAAGTGTAAAAAATTTTAGGGAAAATCTCATATGCTTGGATGTTATATTGTTAATCTGACTAACAAGATGCATTATGAATTCATACAATTTATCATTGCACTAAAATCTATATTTTTTTAAGACACTTATTTTTTAGAAGTTGAACCAAGAAAATTCAACTATGCCAATCATGTTGCATTTGAATTCACTATAAAAATATTGTTAGTACTACAATTCTTTAAAATTGGTTTGTATTAATTATTTAAGTGGTTTTGTTTTATTAAGATTTAATCTAAATTGTCATAACGATTTTGGAACCGTTAGATGAATTTAAAAATAAAATTGAGTCACCACCAATATTTTTTAGTTAAGTGTGATTAATCACCTATTAAAATTTATCGTTTTAATAAAATTTTAAAAAGATAATTTTGATGTTTGCAAAAATAGTTTGGATTCGGAATTATGATTACACATAAAAAATGATTAGTACCAAGAAATTATATATTTTCCTTTAATCTTAACAAAATGGTTTTAATTTTAGCATTTAAGAAAACTCATTAAATTTTTTTTTTAATTTATTTTCATTTCCAGTTTTGTTATTTCACTACTTTTTTATTGCAAAATTTTCCTTTTTTTTAAATTTTTAAAAGATTAACCCATTTTATTTGAGAAAAATAAACTAGAACCTTATTATCGAAAAAACTCTTAAAATATTTTAGTACACTAATAACATTGAAAGAATTCTTCACACTTAAAGATTTCTTAAGAATCACTACTCGAATTTTCTTAAAATCCCATCTTCAAATAAAAATTTCTTTTCTTTCATTTGTTAATTATTTTATTTATTATTTTTTAAAAAAAGAGAGAATTTAAAATTACCAAAAAAAATTAAAATTTTATTTTCATTTTTTAAAAAAGGTAATAAATACTTATTTTAGAAATTTAAAATTTTAAAACATGCAAATATATATATATAACTTACAAACAATAAAAAAATACAAAAAAAAAATGAAATCATACATGCATTGGCTGGTTTGGAAGTGATTTGGCAGTTTCTATGGTTTAGGTCGATTTGTAAGTGGTTTGGCAACTTTCTCATGAAATAAATATTGGTCTAGTTTAGTTTTAGTTCATAGGCAGTTTACTTGAATTGATCCAAGCTAGTTAAATGGAATCTAAGCAGGTCAGGTGCATGGGTTTCGGGTTTGGCTGTGAATTGGTATGCTAATCTTCAAGTCAACACATCATTTTGTTTTTTTTTATATAAAATAACTTTTTTCAAATAATTTCATCCCTTTTTACTAAAAAAAAAAAACCTTTCAAGTCTGGTGCATGAGTTTCGGGTTTGGCTGCAAATTGATATACTAATCTTCAAGTCAACACATCATTTTATTTTTTTATATAAAAATAACTTTCTTTCAAATAATTTCATCCCTTTTTACTAAAAAAAAAAAAACCACCCTTCAAGCCTTCAAAAAACAATTTTTTTAAAGCTTTTTATGGTAGCCTAAATTTTGACATTGTGCGTCATGTTGACCGCCACTACCTTCTCCATCATCAGTGATAAAAAAACTCTAAAAAAACTTAAAAGATTCCTCTCAACCTCCTTTACCCACTTTTAGCCTTATTTTTGCTTGAAATTACCCCAAAACTCCTAAATTGACTTACTAACTTTCGACCAAAACTCTTTTTTTTATTGGTTTTTGTTGTGGTTTGTCTTTGGCGCTAATTCTCCAT